GTCTTACGGATGTGAGCAGACTCTGCTTTTTCTTTTAAACAATCTGGGAGCAAGAGAAGACCACAGGGTGTAGCACAGTTTATAATAAAGCATAAGTGCATCTCCAATGACATTTCTAGAGCAACTTTTACAGGCCAATGAATATTCTATGCACTTGTCACTTTGCTCTGTCCTTTTGAGTCCTGTGAACACAGACATCACTGACCTGTATTTAGGAGAAACTTCTAAAACTTATGATATAATTTATAGTATTATTGAATGGAAATCAAGTGAAAACCTAGCATCACTGACAGACTAAAATTTTGGCAGGTTTGAAGCAGAGAAGCACAGTAACAAACTTAACAGCGGTTCTATTCAACCCTTCACTCAAGACTTACACTGTGAATCTGGCATATTCCACCCTGAAAAAGTGGTTAATTAAACTATTGGCATTAAAAGGCAATTATTCTCTCTTTCTGATAGCATCACGTTATTTTGTGCATAAATCAGGATTTCTTTTGCTTGTTCCTCACCATGAAAACAGAAAGAAGTCAGTATGTCATTTCTTTCCAAGCAGCTTTGGTCTTGAGTTGATTCACTTGTCTGGGAAAGTTTGCAGGAACACCTAGGAAAACATCTAACACTTCTGAAACTTGTAGGCATACTTAGAATAAAATGTGGACAAAACCATTTCCCTTCCTAGAGAAAAGTCCCTATGAGAGCTACACTATATAATGACAATGATTCCATTATTATGGAATCATAGAATCATCAAGGTTGGAAAAGACCTTCAAGATGATCAAGTCCAATCATCCATCCTACCACCTCTAACCACTAAACCATCTCCTGAAACACCATGTCTACCCTTTTTTCGAACGCCTCCAGGCATAATGCCTCTACCACCTCCCTGGGATTATGATCAACTGAAAGCTGACAACATACTAAGCAGTGTACAGACAGATACAAGACACAGGTTCCTTAACCTTTTTAGGAAAATGCAATTCATTATTAGTTTCCAAGTCTTGCACCTTCATGACAAAAAAAGAGTCATCTGAGGTCAGTGCGAAGGAATGTCTAAGCCAGTACAGTGTGTCTAACAATGGACAATCAGTGTCAGACTGTTAGAGCATGTAAATAACGTGGGGAAGGAGGGAAAAAGTTAGAAATCTGTAATGCCAACAGGAAGGTCAACATAGTAGAGTCACAAGAAATACAAATAAAAACTCAGATTGTGAAAATGCACAACCCAGCAAAATTGCTTTGCCTCTTAATGCAAAATAAACCCATTTTAAAAATAGAGCCATGTAATTAATTCAAAAGTTGCCAATAAGTGATAAAGGTTAATGGTGGAACAGTAGTTTTTAAGTACAGATTCTGTACCATGTATAAAAGCAGGCACCTGATGCCAAGAGACTGTTCTGTCCCTTTTACTCTTTCACTTCCTAGTGACATCAATTCTTTATTTTTTGAGGGGATAAAAGTCAACTACCCATTGAAGAAATTAACTAAGAAGTTATAGCAGTGCTAGCAAAAGGGAGCATCCTCCAGCGTAAGTGCTGAAGCCTTGAACTACACTGTAGCCTTCATCACAACTGAAGTTGTGATGAAAAAGCACAATTTGGCTATTTCTCAGCCAAGTAAGTAAAATAAGATGAAAGATGAAGGCTTTTTTTTTTTCTTCTAAAAAGTAGATTTGCATGAATTACCATAAAATAACTGGTTTTGTTCCCTAAAGAATGTCCTCTAAACTTAAACTTTATAGGTATCTAGGTCAAAGTACCACCATCCACTACAGCTGCAAGAGTAAGTCTCATGGAATTATCTTCCCTTTCAAGTACTACCAAGAGTGTTACTACTGTTACTAAGGAGAAAAAGCACCTCATTCATTTCAACTAAATATAGACTGCAGAATGATTGAACCTTCCTTATGAATAATTGTACAAGAGCAAAAGGATTGTTTCACTCAGGGAAGAATGGGTGATGTTTAGTTTACAAATCCAGTGCATAAATGACTCGTTAACTAACTGGCAATTAGTTTGCTATTTTCTCTGCTTTTCTTTACTTTCCTTTAGCCCTCAGCAAAAAGGAAGCGAGAGTTGATGCACTTTGAGAGAAAGAATACCAGCCCGCTTAGCACTTCACAGGTCATTCCAGTATTTTTCTTTTCCCACTGTCTCACTGAAAGGAGTGGGAGTGGGAGCACCTCCTCTCCTCCAGAGTTTTGTTTCTTGGCCCTCCCTGCCAGACACTACACAGCACATCACTGTATAGCACTATGCACCACCAGCCTTCTCCTAAAACACTTGTATTTTTGTGTCTGCAAATACTTAAAAATGCTTCTCCAAAATATGAAAAGCAATAAAATAACCAACTTTTATTTAGCAGAGTATTGGCTTTTTTTGCCTATTCATGTACACTTTTATGAATGAGTCCATTGTAAAGCACTGCTCACCCCTCCTTTTTGGAGATTTTGAACGTACACTGTATGTACTGCTGCATTTATGTTGTAAGAAAACCTCACTACATCTCGAAACACTGAAATGTACCTGGTTAAAAGAAGGGCAACTGTGGAAAAACAACTGCTTGCAAGTGTAGCTTGAAGACAGACTTACCTTTGCCAGCATTTCTAGGAGGAAGAGGAGGAGCATCTGCAGTTGGAGAGGTGGGTGAATCTGTGCTTGTAGAAGCAAAAATCTGATTCGTAAAAGCTCCATAGGAGAGTCTTTGTTTGTCTCTAGGAGTGCTGAATGAAGGATGAGTCAGTTTGTCTTGGGAAGAAATGCTCGAAGAGTGACAGAAACTTTGGGGCCTTGGAGATCTTTCTTTTTTTATAGGACTAGGCTGTGAATAGAAAAACAAATATACTATACAGCTGTCTAAACATGAAGTGTAGTCAATGTGTTCGGGAAAGAACATAACAAAATATCTTCTAGTTAACACTAGCATGATTTATTTATTTACTGGACAAATAAGCTCATACTTCTCCCTTTCTCTGAGATCCAACTCCAAGATCCTCTCCTCTAACTGAAAAATAAATTTTAGCGCCAATAAGTCATCGTGTACAAAGTTAGAATTATTCTTAACATAAAATACTAAATAATAAACTAATAAAAGCCTCATAATTTTTTTAGAAAATAAGAGTAATTTTCAGTTCAAAAAGCTCTTTACTCAGACCAGTTATCCTCAAAGATTAAAGTATATTACCCCACTGATCCAAATTAAAATGAAATAACCACTTCTGACACATCAGATTTATTTGTTGACTCAACTAGTAATATGTGCAGTGGTAGAGCTCTTTTAAACTTATATAATTGCTCTTTGGTGAAATTTTACACAGCAATTTTTGACTGCTGTGTATTAATAGCTGCATATGCAGCACGATCTGTTTCACTGCAGCTCTGGTTCAGGCAGACTATTATCTCCAATACAGCATTAGTCATCTTCCTGAGGCTTCCTGCAGATAATAATTTTGTTCTCTACTGTCCTTCAGGATATGCAAATTATTTTGGTTGCTGAATTTTTCAGTTCCAGGCATCATAGAAAATGAAAAGTTGACCACATTTCTTTCTACAGCACCCATATACAATGGGAAAGGTGTATTCCCACTTCTTACAGAAATAGAGCACAGAGTAATTAACTGACTTGCTAAAGTAGGACACTGAATCTAAATTTTCTCATGTTCTAGGATGGCAATTTTCCTATGCCCTCAAGTTTCATCTTTCCGTTACTTCTTTGTGTAATCTGAAATTAAGTGTAAAGCACAATTTTTGAAAAACAGAACTGATTCAACAACTAGGTTCTTAATTCATTTATGGAAAAAATCAGCTTTGAATTTCCTCCAGCTAAAAAGGAACAGACTAGAATTCAGAAGGAGATAAAATGACAAAGTAATCTACATTTACTGACTTATATTGCATGTTTTGTCAATGCAAAACTTCTCAAACTCAAGTCCATAATAACTTGATTGACAGCGTATTCAAAAAGCACTTCGACAGTTTTTATACAGGCCTGAGAATTAGCTTTCCTCCCCCCAAGAAAAAAATTTCTAAGGATAAAAAAAGGTTGAAAAGGATCTCTAATTTCCACTCAATTACAAAGAACAGAATTTTTAATGTTATTTGGTACAAAGTCCTATCAGTAATTCATGCTTACCTTATCATCTAAGTCATCATCACTTTCATCAATTTCTTCCTGCCGAAGATTCCATTCATACTCTACATGGACGTGTGGGTTTAGCTTTCCTGCCTTGGCTTGAGAAAGCTGAAATAAATAACTCTTGTTAAAAGACTTACTGTTCCTTTGGTGTCCACAAAGTTAGTTTTGTAACAACAAGCAATAAACTGAAATATTTAGAGGTTTAAAACTTTTCCAGACATTAAAAAGAAATTCTTTCAGGGCAACGACATAGACATCCTTCATTTATTTGAAGTAATGAAAAACATAAAAGACAAAAAGGGGAGAATCTGCCATGTTAGACAAGTATTTAAAAAGATGACATGAAGAGAAGATATATGCACAGAAGCAGAATGCATCTGGAGCCATCCTTTCCAAAAAGGAAAGGCAAAACCTATTTATAAATTCTGGTACATACAACTATCACCACTCCAAATTCACAATCCTTATGTCGGAATAAATATAAAACTCAGTTATCCTTTGTTTAAATATTTTCCTCCTTCTCACTGGATAAGGCTGATACATATTTGGCATAAAGTTCCTCTACTCTGTCACCCCAATTAACTATAGAATGATTTGGAAGGGACATTTAAGATTATCTAGTTCCATCCCCACTGCATGGGCAGGGACACCTCCCACTAGATCAGGTTGCTCAGACCCCCATCCAGCCTGGCCTTGAACATTTCCAGGGATGGGGCCTCCATAAATTCCCTGGGCAACCTGTTCCAATGTCTCACCACCTTTACAGTCAAAAATTTCTTCCTAATGTCTAACCTAAATCTATGCTCTTCCAGTTTGAAACTGTTACCCCTCCTTCTATCACTACAGGCCCTTGTATAAGTCTCTCCCCAGCTTTCCTGTAGCCCCTTCAGGTACTGGAAGGCTGCTGCAAGGTCTCTCCAGAACCTTCTTTCCAGGCTGAACAGCCCCAACTCTCTCAGCCTGCCTTCATAGGAAAGGTGCTCCGGCCCTCAGATCATTGTTGTGGCCCTTCTCTGGACTTGCTCCAACAGCTCCACGCCCACCTTATGTTGGGGCTCCAGAGCTGTACACAGCACTCCAGTTGGGGTCTCAAGAGAGTGGAATAGAGGGGCAGAATCACCTCGCTTGACCTGCTGGCCACGCTTCTTTTGATGCAGCCCAGGACACAGTTGGCTTTCTGGGCTGGAAGTGTACGTTACCAGCTTATGTATTCGCATTCTTTAAGAATCTACTGCTTCAGCAACCAGGAAAAGGAACTATTTCAGTTCATGGTTACTCTGAAGAAAAAATTATCATTTTCAGTGCTCAGGTTTTCCATCATTTATTCCTTCAGATCCTTTGAAATGTAGTCTACTTAGCACTAGTTTAATCAGGAGAGCCTTTAACCATCTTCCCCAGAAAAATCTGGAACAACTCTTAACCTTATTTCATTGCCACTTTTAAGAAAAGCACAGGAATAATTTTCTTCTTCAGAAAAGAAAACAAGAAAAAAGGCATAAATGCTCTATGATAGTTAATTGAAATAACCAGGTAGGTATTAGCAGAATCTCAATCACAATCACTGAAATTATTAACAGCTAGATAAGCTCACTGATAACATCCACCTGTTTCTGTTTGTTCTACAATACAATCTGTTGGTCCACATTCATGGCAGCTATTACTTAATGTCCTGGTTTAAGCTGTTACAAAGAAATGAACTACTGTGTTCTGAAGTCAGAAAATATGCACCTTTAGTAAGATCTTCAGATTAGTACACACCTAGCTGGCAAGCAATACAAAGCTTGAGATACAGTGGTAACGGTATCACAAGTAGATGACATCTTTAAAGTAATAAACATCCTTCCCCTGCCCTCCCCCTGTCCCCCAGTCCTTACCAGTTCCTCACACTGAACAGCTTTCACTCTTTTTGCTGTGTCCAGAGGTGTCTCTCCAGCTTGGTTTACTACAAAATTAGCAATAAAAAAAAAAGAGACCAATTCTTTGAGATGTCAAAAGAATCAATTCATTAAGTTTCACTATTCTTAGCAGAGTAACTTCTAAAAGTGATCAAAAATGTCTATGTACTCTATAGCAGCTGCAGCTCTTTAAGATTCCACTCTAAAAACTCAAGCATTTCATGTATCATCACGTTCTTTCTGAACAGCAACATCTGCTGGCACAGATCCCAAATCCCTCCTAACCATCCTAGCAGAGAATATAAAGAAATTTAGTCATTTCCACCTCCAATCAACCCCTTTGGTAGTAAAACTCATACATAAGTAAGCAGGAAAAGCAAGTGGACAGGATAAGATAGCTTAAAAAAAAAAAGAGAAATATTCTAGGATTAAAAAAAAAAAGAAGCAAATACTGATTCAAGCCTGGTTTACTTTGATAAATACATAGTGGTTTGAAGCCTGAATTGGAAAACAAAAATCCTGTTCTGACATTTGAACAAGAGTAATTTTAAACCTTTCTAGATATTTCAGCTTTATAATGGCTATACTATGTTTTACATTTTAAAATAATGCCTGATCAGAAAGGTGATACCTGAGCACTCTAGAAGGTCCTCTGGCATAACAACTAATGGAATACTTTCTAGATGCTAAGTAGCAAGTCTCAAGAAACAAAAACAACCCTTACACCCCAAAATTATGTGGACAAAATTGAGGCAAAATTTATTCTTAAAGTATAGCTTGAAATGCCATGGAGCTGGAATATTATACATCATATCCAGATTGTAAAGCATTTCTGTGATTGGGAACTGAAAACTATCACAATGAGGTCTCATGAGCAAATATCTCTATGTGTAATATTACACATAGAATGTCAGTCATGAATTCTAGAAAATACAAAAGCATGTCTCACTTCTAGAGATACCTGTGAAATTGAAAGAACTGAGGGCTCTATATGGCAAGATCTATCTGAGATGGTTCAGGAGTTTTAATATGAAAAGGAATTGAAGGAATAGGATATGGGGATGGTAGTAGATGAAAATCACAGAATCTTAGGGGTAGGAAGGGACCTGGAATGATCATCTAGTCCAACCCCACTGCCAGAGCAGGGTCACCCAGAGCACATCTCACAGGAATGTGTCCAGGAGGGTTTGGAACGTCTCCAGTGAAGGAGACACCACAACCTCTCTGGGCAGCCTGTTCCAGTGCTCTGTCACTGTCACAGTAAAAGAAGTTTTTTCTGATGTTTACGTGGAACCTCCTATGCTCCAGTTTGCACCCATTGCCCCTTGTCCTATCACTCACTGGACATCACTGAAAAAAGCCTGGCTCCATCATCCTGACACTCATCCTTTACATATTTGTAAACTTTGATGAGGTCACCCCTCAGTCTCCTCTTCTCCAAGCTAAGGAGACCCAGCTCCCTCAGCCTTTCCTCATAAGGGAGATGTTCCACTCCATCATCTTTGTGGCTCTGCACTGGACTCTTTCAAGCAGTTCCCTGTCCTTGAACTGATGTGGCCTCACCAAGGCAGAATAGAGGGGGAGGAGAACCTCCCTTGACCTACTAACCACACCCTTTCTAATACACCCCAGGATGCCATTGGCCTACTTGGCCACAAGGGCACATTGCTGGCTCATGGTCATCCTCCTGTCTACCAGGACCCCCAGGTCCCTATCTCCTACACTGCTCTCCAGCAGGTCAGCTCCCAACCTCTACTGGTCCATGGGGTTGTTCTTCCCCAGATGCAAGACTCTACACTTGCCCTTGTTGATTTCATTGAGTTTAGCCCTGCCTAACTCTCCAGCCTGTCTAGGTCTCGCTAAATGGCTGCACAGCCTTCTGGTGTGTCAGCCACTCCTCCCAGTTTAGTGTCATCAGCAAACCTGCTGAGGACACTCTCTATTCCCTTATCCAGGTTGTTGACAAAAATATTGAATAGTACTGGTCCCAGTACCAACCCCTGAGGGAATCCACTAGTCACAGACCTCCAACTAGACTTTGTCCCATTGACCACAACTCTGACTTCTTTCTTTCAACCAGTTCATGATCCAATGAAGCTCGACATGAGCCATCAGTGTGCACTGGAGCTCAGAGAGCCAATTGTGTCCTGGGCTGCATCAAAAGAAATGTGGCCAGCAGGGCCACGGAAGCAATGCTGCCCCTCTGCTCTGCTCAGACCCCACCTGGAATACTTTGTCCAGTTCTGGGGCCCTCAGCACAAGAAAGATACAGACCTGTTGGAGAGGGTCCAGAGAATGGCCATGAAGATGATCAGAGCATCTTCCAGTACCTAAAGGGACTACAGGAAAGCTGGCTTTTCACCAGAGACTGCAGTGATAGGAGAATGGTTTTAAACTGAAAGAGGGGAGATTTAGGTTAGACATCAGGAAGAAATTCTTCACCATGAGGGTACTAAGGCAGTGAAACAGGTTGCCCAGGTAGGTTATTGATGGCCCCTCTCTGGAGGTGTTTAAGGACAGGTTGGATGAGGCTTTGTGCAGCCTGGTCTAGTGTGCGGTGTCCCTGCTCATAGCATGGAGGTTGGAACCCAATGATCTTTAAGGCTCGTTCCAATCTCAACCATTCTATGATTCTATTAAAATATAGTATTTCTTAACTGAAGTTAACACACAAATAGCTTAAGAGTCTACACGGATTCCACGCTTCTAACCTTTTTAGTAAGTCTGATATTTCAAGGCCTAAAGATACACAGTTTCTATGTGAAAGAATTAAAAAATAAATAAATAAAAGACCCCAAAAGGTAAGAGCACCCTGGCATTTTCCTATGAGAGAATTCAATAGAAGGATCAATAAACACATAAGCTTGTTCAGGTAGCCTTCCCATTTTCTTAATAGGGACATATTTGCTAAAAAAGGTCACATCAAATTCTTTGACTTGTATATTAGAACATTTTCTAAGGATGTATGAAAAGGCCAAGCAAAACAATTACTTCTGCCACTGAGCTATGCAACAGTTTTTTTCCTGGGGAGCGGAGTAAAATGGTGAGGAAAGAGGAAGAAATAAAAGTTCATACTCTTCAGTTTGCACCAACTGTTGAGAAAGCTTCTTTCCTATCTCAAGAACTGGCAGAATGAAAATATTTTATAGACATGCTGATGATACTTAGCTCCTGAACCTGACAAGCTGGATTCATGGGATACCATCCTAACTCAGAAAACAAAGCAGGGAAAGGAGAGCATCTAGTATATGAGACATTATCCTAAGTGTAAAAAAACAATTCACAGAAATTCTACTTTTAATTAAACTTTTGCTAAACCACAATGAAAAATTGACTGATTTGGGTACAAGAAGAGTTAGACCTCTCACATAGATGCAAAAAGGAAAAAGGCAGCTCAGAAAGATAGTATCTTCCCTAATCAGCTACCATGGTGGGTGAAGCAGCAGTGCTGACTGACATTAATATTAAAAGAAAAACTAACTGTTGCATACACATAGCTCACATACATCCAGAATGGAATTAAATACATTTACCACAGCAAGACATAAATAAAAGTGGTTAAAAATAATAGAAAGAAATATTAGGAAATCCTTATTTCTTAGTTTTAAGTTATGAACTTACCTACATCAATAGTTGGCTTCCCCCTCAAAAGCAACTTCAAACACTCAGGCTTATTATACATACTGCAGTAGTGTAGAACTGTATTACCCAAAGCCGTTTGCTTATCCAGGTTTCCACTAAATACAAAAGAAAAAAGAACCAAGAGAAGTATAGTATGCTGTCCTATTCATTTCAGATCTAACATTCCTATATATAATAAATGCATAAATATTTCACTGGAAAAATACAAAGTGCAGGACAAAGATACATTTTAAATTAGACATTACTGCCAAAGACGATTAAGAATAGTTCTGAGCATCCTGGAAATTCCTGAGCTGTGGTTGAAAAGGACTGAGCACATACAGATGTTAATTAAAAAAAAGTGAAAGTCAAAGATTCAAGCCTAATCCTTCTTAAGGCCACAGCAGTTGTTTTCTACCTGCTACTTTACTGGAATTTATTTTTCAAATATGCCAAATTAGCTCAATAAAAAGTATCCGAAAAATCATTTTGATACAGTTAGAACAGGTTAATAAGTTCCAGGCATTCAAGGAACTCTGGAGAGGGTAGCTGTGAGGATGCACAGAAAAGCCATAAGAAAGAATGTAAGAAA